GCATTAAAAATATTAAAATCTTATTTTCCACGAAGCAGCAAGAGAAATTAGTTTTGCTTCTGAGCAAATTGTAAATTCCATCACTTTAAAATCTCCAGAAAAGCTGGTGAATGCATCCTAAATATATTCTAAGGTGTAGTTTTAGGGTAAAAACTATTTTTTTAAAAAACCTAATTGTTTTTGTACTACCAGTTTGTATTACTTACTTCAAGAGAATATGATTTTATAGAGCTGCAAGGTGGATCAGTGGTTAGCACCGTTGCCTTGCTGCAAGAAGGTCGCTGGTTCGCGTCCTGGTGAGGACACCCAGGATCTTTCTGCGTGGAGTCTCCATGTTCTCCCCATGCAGTGTGTGTTCTCCGGCTTCCTCCCACAGTCCACAAACATGTTGAGGTTAATTGGTGATTCTAAATTGTCTGTAGGTGTGAATGTGAGTGTGCTTGGTTGTCTGTCTCTGTCTGCCCCCCTGTGATGTATAGATAATGGATGGATGGATGGATGGATGGGTGATTTCATAGACATATTTATGGGCAGGACTGGCTTGAGAAGAGACTTTGAACATTTTTGACACTCCTTTTTTTGACCTGCAGCTCTATGCCAGTCAGTGTCCACCAGGGGGAGTTAGACATCTGAAAATCTGACGACGAGTTCCTGTGAAGATGACACATAAAGCTCATCTTATTTCACTAATTTTAGCCTCCTCTGCTCGAATCTCTGGTGGGAGGGACCAACCCCTTATCTCATTTCACTGATTACACATCCTGGACTCCTCTCCTTGTGTCATAGTTCTACCACCAGAGATTTGATGTGAGGAGAAAGGAGTTGAGGCAGCAAGTTTTTTTCACAAAATGAGACATCCTCACCTTGGAGTGTCAGTTTAAAGCGATTTCAAGTAAATATGACATGTGGCACAGTCACCTGTCCATTGTTTCATTATAAATTTTCTTATATAATATGCATTATATTAAAATTATTCCTTTTTTAGGATACACCTGTGTATCCTCTCCAATAGCTCCTCCAACTGCCTCCTCCATCCTCGATCCTCTGTTCTTGATTTACATTTTAGGGAATGAGTCGTCCTTAGTTATGATGCACTCAGAATCAAGGAAGCTGACATTAGTGATATGAGATAAGGCAACAGACTCTACAACAGTTAAGAAGTCCTACCTCTGATTATGAAACTGATTCCAACTGCATTTTTAGACATGCTTTTCCCTGTTCAAGGTTCTTTCAGATTGAAGTTGGAGCTGTTATAGAGCATGGATTTGCAGTTTACAGTCAAGAATCAGAAGTTTGGACAATGTATCAGACACCCATCATCAGCTGACGGATGCATCTGATAGTGAACACTCAGCAGGCTCTGCTTCTAATCTCACAGTCTGATAACACTGTTTTTGAAAAGCATTTACCTGCTTTTCTTCAGTCATAAAAAAAAAAAGTTTTAAAGGCAGAAAGAGTTCAAAATACTCGTGGTATAACATAAGGCCTTCATGACGACAAATGTAATATTCCCTATAGTCAGTAAAAGACTGTGCTCTTGAGACTTTTTACATATTTCCCAGGTCATACACGTGTTGCTCTGCAAGAGGCTGAACTTCCTGTAAGAGCTCAACAAACTCCACAGAATCCCTAAAATAGTTCATGTGCCATGGGGGAATATGAGCTCTAGCGATGATTATATAGTGACGGTGTCTCAGAGCAAATGTCATGTCACTCACCATAATTGTTGTTGTGGTTGTTTCCCTGCTGGACCTCAGCAGGGCCAAGAGAATTAAAATGCTAATTCATCCAGGACCTGAACGGTCCATTTAAGTCAAGCCAGAAGCATTTATTACACCATAATTAAGTTAGTTCCAGGACGAGACAAAAACTGTCTCTGTCACTATGCTACATACAGCAGGGGAAATGTGATGTTTAGGTTTACACTAACATTGTGCAGTTTTAAATCTCTGTCAAATGTCTGTCATGTGGAGTTTGGAATTTAAAGTTGTATTCCTAACTTGTTACAAGTCTAACAGTAGTGCTATAGCTTGGGCCATCAGTTCTATCACTATACTCATGGAATTTGCCAGATTAACTGCTAAGATCTGCATTTTTTCACACTTGATGTAATTGTTTAGTGTTGTAGCATTTTTGATGCAGGCTAATGATTAACTAAAAACAATCAATAAATGATACATTTACAATATAGTAATATATCAATAAACACTGTCTTAATATTACTTTTTCTAGGAGTACCATTGACAGTAATCCAAAAATTATGAGATATTTACTCATGGATATATGAAAAATTAATGCAATCAAATACTGGTTTTGAAAGATACAGTAAAGTACAATCCAAAACTATAGTTGTCTTTTTCTGCTTAGACAGAACTCTCTCAAAATGTCTGTGCACATCCCTGATTACAGGTGTGCTCACTGCTAGTTTAACTTCCACATAAAATGGTTTTGATGATCTATATCAGGGGTGTCCAATCCTGGTCCTCGAGGTGCCACAATCCTGCATGTTTTAGATGTTTCCTTCTTCCAGTGTGTCAAATAACAAGCGATGACTCTTAATCACTTTCTCCTGGGTGGTGTATCAGAATTGATAACAGCTTTTACTATATTCAGAATGCCTCGCAAGGACCTATCAATCTCCCTGTGGCATCTTTCATTCTGTTAGTGATGTTGACGAATGGCAACACAGACCCCTCTACATGATGAAGTGAAAGGCAGGCCAAATGAAAAACAATCCATTGTCCTCTTGGGGTAACAGATGGAGTGATATGCACTCAGTGTTAATTACTGTTGTTTGTTTCCATTTTTATTTTGTTGGTCAATCCCTGGCACCACCTTCCTGATGACATGATATAGGTCGTGAGAGACGGCAGGCTGTGACTGGTCAAGCCAGCATGTCAAGTATATCAGCCCGAGAGATTTGATGACTGTAATCACCTAATGCCATCCAGCAACTATCTTATCATACAAAAATGTTGTGTAGTCAAATATTGTGTTGTCAAAATGTTGCTGTAAGGTATAGCCAGTTTATCATAAATTAGTTCAAAGTGCATATTGTCCAATCGTGTGCTGTTTAGAGTCTCAATACTCACTGCATCCTCCCAGCTCCCTGATCTCTCACCAGCAACTCTTTACCCAGATCAGGTGAGGTAATATAAATACCAACAAAGTTCACCTTGGCAGTGCCATGTGGTGACATAATGGATCAGATGGAGGAATTTCAATTTCTATACATCAAATGGTTGTATGCTTTTGGCCTGACTATCCTCATGCCTTTAAAGAGTATGCTCGTCTGGTGGGAGGGCCTTACAACAGAGAGGGGAGAAGGAAGAGCAGCAGGAGGAAGGATATATATAATATTTTCAAATTCTGTCCTTTTTTTTTTTTTTTTGCTTTTGGTTTTTGCTTAGCTATTACTGCAGCTGTAAGGTTTGGGGAAAATGAGGAAAATAGTTTTTTTTGTTTGTTTGTTTGTTTGTTTTTTAAAGATAAATGATATTAGTTATTCGTCAGGATGCAAGTTGTGTGGAAGTTGAATGATCTATATCCCCACCCACCCCCTACACCTTCTGTTTTGTCATATAGAGCGCCCAATGTGTCCTTCATTTCGTGAACACAAAGAGCAAAAGCTATCCAAACATAACTTTGAAGAATGCTGGGCTTGTTTCCTACCCTGCCGCACTTGGTTTGTCGCAATGTCACTATATTCACAGATGTCAGCATTTATTTGGTTAGTGATGGTACAAGAATATACCTACACATCTATGTTGTAATAAACCAACCTTACCCTAAGGGTTAAAAGAGAATCATATGACTTATGGCTTGAACAGAAAAATCGTCCATGTTAATCAGAAACAACAAGCATCTTTTTGGTGGGGAAAAGCAGCCAGATCTTCTCAGTTTCTAAGGACCAGAAAAGAAACCACGTGTTGGCGATGGAAGTGCAGTACATATGGTCATCAACTTTAACCTTGAGATTTGAAGTTAATTATGTTTCTTTTACAATCCAACAGAGGGTGTATTCTAGCCTGCATCTGTGTTTATGAAAAGTGTGCAATAAAAGTGACTTAATCACACAAACAGTGCAACCTCTCAGTCAACTTGACTTTGCGTGGAAACTCCACATCTCAGGACATTCTTTTGGTTGTGCACCCAAACCACACACTGTTAGCAGCTGTGCTGTATTTCACTCAGACCGCTCCAAGACTTTCTATTTTTTTGTGCCGAGCGCTTTTCCAAAACCACTCATTAATAAAGTATTTGTTATCATGTGGCACTGACAGTGGGACAAAGATCACTGCAGGCAATGTGTGTTTGCGTGTGTGTGTGTGTGTGTGTGTGTGTGTGTGTGTGTTGTGTTTGGGGGGTATAAAGTAAAAGTTAAGGAGAAAAAAACAAGGGGATAAAAAGAAAAAAGATAGATGCTTTAAAGGAGAAGGGTTAAGAAATGCTCTCGTTCCCGCTCTCTTGCACACACACACTCTGCACACAGACTCCCTGCCCCTCCCTCGCTCTCACTGTCTCCTATGTAATGAGCTCCAGATGTACTGCTGAAGACGGGGGTGAGTGGGTGAGGGTGAGGAGGGAGGAGAAGTGCTAGTGGGGGAGCTGCCTTGTCATGTGCTCAGGCGAGGAGAGACGCTGTCCGAGGGGACGCTGTCAGCCCTGATCGAGTGGCTGACCAGGCCCTAGGGGCGAAGGGGGGAGGAGGGATCTCCACATCTGGAATCACTTCAGGTTAGCCCAGACCCTGGCCGTGAAAGGTGAGACTGGGCGCCTGGCAGGGGAGAGGGGGACAGAGGTCTGACACTGGACATACCACAGTCAGGGATCAGTGAGCAGGAACCAACAGCAGAAAATGAAACAGCTCAAAAGAAAACAGAAATATCCCTTTTTAAATCTGACTTTCATGTCAGGAAAAACCCTAAAGTTACATAAAGGAACACCATTTTCTTATGACTAACTTTCACTCAGCACAAAGACACAACTGTAGACAAAGATTCCTTATGCCCTTTATTTACTAAAAATGACAATACTGCACTTGAAAGTATAGTCTAAATTGAAGTCCTTTTTTATTAGAAAAAAAGGGAACATTAAATTCTCTCCTTCCAGACAGATGACAGCTTACATGATGTTCTTATACCTCACTCCCTTTCTAAGACTTGACAAAAAGTTCTTTCCTCAAGCAACAATGAGGCTGCTTCTAAGAGTTTTTCAAAGATTCTGACAAAGCAACACTGATATTTAATGACATTATCACATATTTAGTGTTAAATATGGAATTTGAAACCTGCAAAGTTTAAAGTCTAAAAGTTTAAATACTTTTTCTTTTCTTTTCTTTTCTTTTCTTTTCTTTTCTTTTCTTTTCTTTTCTTTTCTTTTCTTTTCTTTTCTTGAAATAACCAATATTAGATGTGTTGCTTTTAGGCTGAAGTTGGTAAAAATGAAGAACAATTATTAAGCACTTAAAACTTTGTAATGTTTGCCACTGTCAGCATAAATTTAAACGACAGACTTTTTGAAGAGAATTGATTGGCAAAGATGCACATCAGGGTTAATCCTTTCTAAGGTATTTGTGACTTGTAAATAATAAACCTCTGCAAATAGCTTTTTCTAGGAACATGTCACGTGAATACATGTGTAGCTTCAAGTCTTGCAAAAAGCGAAACACTACTTCATCAGCTTCAATTTCATTCAGCCCTGCTTTTACGGCCTGTGTGTGCCGTTCGAGGACGAGTGTTGACATGTGTTTGTTGACAGTGAAGGTTATGAGGGGCCACGGAGAAGAAACACCTTGCATGACAACCACAGAGTTAAACGAGGCCCAGGGGCCCTCCATATTAAGGAGAGGATTTCCCTGCTCATAAATATTCTGTTTTTAAGATGGAAATTTCAGGTTGTGGTAATCAGGAAAAGAAACACACACAAAGCAGGAACAGCTTGAGATTTCTCTGAAGGAGAATATGTTCTCGGGTTGTAAATCTCTCTTTTATGGGGCATGAACGAAGTCCAGGATCATTTTGCTTTCCAAATGGTCTCAACAATAAACATACTTATTCCTTATAGTTTCCGAAGCGTGATTTAAGTCAGACTGTATTGTAGTATTCATATTTCTCTTATATTATGTAATAAATCTTCCTACCATTAGGATTCACTCTGTGATTGTTTAAGGAAACAGTTGAAAAACTGGAAAAGTGGTTCAAAAGGAGGAAACCACTTGTTTTTTCTTCCTTTCTAAGACTGGTCAAGTTGGACACTGTGCCATGGCATTGTTTGAAATGCTTTTTTATTAATATACAAGTTTTTCTTGTTACAAATAAAGGATATCATAGGATATTATCTACTTGTTTTTGGATTCAGAAATACATTAGCCTTTCCTTTATATTGGACTATTACATAAAAATCAAAATGCATTGAAAATGTTTGCTTGTCAGTGGCATAACATGGAAAGAAATGTGAAAAAAACAAAACTATCTTTAAAAAAATTAAGAAATGTCAGAGGAAGTCCTTGGTGGTTTGTTGTTGACTTAAAAAGAAAGAAAGAATATTATTCCAATTTTGGCGTGTAATTCAGTCCGACACCACAGAAAAACGGGACAAAGGGGTTCCACGTACTCCATATATGAGTCTCCATTAGAACAAGTTGTCTGATTGGAACTCCCCCTCCTTTTCAGTCACAAACACAAATGTAAAACTATGCAGATATTTGGTTACAGCATCCAATCTAGATGTCTTTTTGTATGAACAAGAGTTCAGTGATGCTCAGGAGAAAGGCTTGATGAAAATCCTGCCATCATTTGGTGTCCAACATTTTGCATGTAGGTGGTAGTAGTATGCCATCATGGCTGCACCACAAAGGAGGGAAGACTTCATGATCCAGGCTATGTGAGTTGATGTTCATCTCAGAGACGTTGTCCGTCTGCAGGGGTACAGCAGGAGAGAGGTTCCCTCCCCTCCTGTGCAAGTCCGCAGCCTCTCCTTCTCTCAGTTGACTGTGGGCACCTGGTTCAAGCTGTATTCCTTGGCTTTGAGCCGCAGGTTGGCGATGCTGTTGGCCATGTTCATTCCCTGGGACGTATTGGGGTTGGAGCAGGTGGGTGGGTAGGTGGCCATGCCACTGAGAGACAAGAGGAGGGGGAAAGAGGGGAAAAGGTTACATCACCTGTGTCTGACAGCAAGCTAAAGCTCAGCATGAGGCACAGCTGTGGAAATACGTACAGAAGCAAAAAAAAAAAAAAAAAAGTATCACGTGAAAAGCTTTGAACTAAATCTGATGGTAGCACACTCAGAAAACAACAAATCCCAACGGAACATAACCAATGTTTTTGCACATTTTAATTCAACTCACATTAACTGTACTTACAGGGCATGGAAACATTTAGGTTAACTTTTGCTTTAAGTGTCTTACATTATAATTGAATTAACTTAGATACTTAGATATTCAGCCATTGAATTAGGAACCCTAGGCCCTTGCAGAATCCCAAACAGAGTCATTTTTTTGCCCCTTGCAGACTACATGAAATAGGGGCCAGATTATCATGAGATTGCAGTACGGGGATAACACGTCTGAAAAAAAAATGAGCAAGAAACGGAATGCAGATTGTAGAACCGCCTTTGCTGATATTTTCTATGTTACTGCTACTGTAATGCACAGAGCTCAGGGTTCTTAGGTGGCTTAATTAATAATCTAAAGCAAATGTCAGGTTGAAAAAAACATTAGTTTCATCAGTGAATGAACTTTGATTAGGGCAATGAAATGCATGGTCTGTGCTCCACAATTTATGTTTATCAGACTGCCATTTAAGTCATTTATCTTCAACAGGTCAGTTAACACAATGTCAATTTTTATCCTAATGCATTGCTTTTGTTCTTGTATGTGTTTGTTGATTTAGTTTCTTTTTTTCTTCCCTTTTTCCTTCCTAGAGTTTATTTTTCTTTTGTTAGTCTTCTTCTTCCCCCCTCCCAGTAATCTATCTCTGCCTGTGCTGTAAATATTTGCTTCGTTGTGTGTTCTTGACCTGTTTTTTTCCTTTCTACCAAAATACCATAAATAACTGGTTACAAATTAGCTTTTGGTTTTGATTCATGACAGTAGTTAATCTACAAACGGGCAAAATGTACTTTATTTGAGCAATCATCTTGTTTGCTTCTTCAGTTTGTCTACATTGATGCTTTCCAGATTCAAATTATTCATCAGGGGAGAAATGCACATCTATAAACAAAATCTGAAAAAAATCTATATCTAAGAAATGTCTGAGGTCTGTCTACTGAGTGTCATTCTTGTTCCCATGTTTGTACGAGCCTGTACTGTGTATTTTGACTGCGTTCTCCTGTCTTTTGCTGTTTCAAAGCACTTTAGATGCACTATTTTGTGTTTAAAGTTTGTGTTCTAAACACAAATGTCTGTTGTGTGATATGTCGTCCAGTACATTACTATTATCAGCAGAACTTGATGTGCAAAAACAGTGGTGTGCATGCTTCTTTAAAGACAACAAGAAATGAACTAGGTGGAGTAAAGTGAAAGCATACTTGTTCTCTGAGGGCAGCATTTTCTGTGGCACTCGCACTGGCCCCCCCTCCGGCATTGGATACCAGCTTAAGGATAATATACAGTGAAGTGTTAGCAGCACATAGCATTATTCCTGCTTCACAAAAGATTTCCCCCGCTGTTCTGCCTCCGGCCAAAAAGCTCTCAGTGAGTTTAAGCCACGGCCATGGGGTTTGACATGTTATACAGAGTTTCATAACGAAGGATTACTGTAAATCATGACCAATGTAACCAGAGTCACAAAAAATGTTGCCCAGTAGAGCTGTCTCTCTGTGTAGCGTTCATTATCTGGTGTAGTGTAGCAGAGAGGGGTCACAGGGGTCAACAGTGGATTTAATATGGTTTGTTTTCACATTATCACCTCATCAGTAGGGTCACAGGATCTAGACCTGTCTGCTGACAGAGGGGAGCGATGGGAGAGAGGGGGAAGGAAAGGGGTGTTTGGATTCAACACAATTAGTTTGCAGTGAGATATGAGCAAGGCAAGATGGTTAAAATGCAACGTGAGAACATAAAGAGGGAAAAGTTCAGAGATTTTAGATACAGAAAAGAGAAGTCAGGAACAGCGATGGAGGTGGAATTTCAATCTTTAACTGAAATATTAAAGTATTTTAGGGTCACATTGGTTTTATTTTTACAGCAAAGTATTAATGTACAGAAATGTAAGTATTATATTCCTAATTTTTGGAAATAAAACCTCATATATCACACAAAATCACAAATGGATCAAGTTATCATGTGCGGTATTAATCATCATAATTGCTGAATTTTAAAATAAAATGTCATTAGAAAATGTTGATGTGAAATAGTAACTATGCTGTATCCAAATACAGCATGCTTCAGTGATTTCTACAAAGGTCATAAAAGAAAACTGCAACTTACACTAAACAACATAAAATGAGGTCATTTTACAGCAGTGATTATTCTGTACTGTAAATGTAGATAATGTGGCCTGGAGTCTGACTTTAAATTACAATGTAAATTGTGAAAGCAATAAAAAGTGAATCCACATTTTAAAAAGATTTTTATTGCATGTTTGCCTGAGTGTTAACAATTAAAACCAGCTCTGTGTTAGTCTGTCTCTTAACGCTTTGTGACATTTTTACCCTGTGTGTGCCACACAAAAGCATTGGTGTTGTGTGTGTCTATATATATATATATATATATATATATATATATACATTTCAATAGCTGGATAATTACTAAAACAGATGGCCTAGTTAATCTTTAATAAATACACTGGAGTAGGCAGTATATAGTATAGTATATTAGGCAGAATAAACCATAGTGTATGTGGACATTGTAATATTGGAACAATTTGGCTTGTTTTTATTCAATTTTGGGACAACAGTGGCGCTCTACAGCACTGAGGAATAAGATCAGGCTTTGGATAGACACAATACTGACTGTGCACATTCAATTTGTTGACAAGCAAAAACACAACATCATTTTAGTGTCCTATGTGCACAAGGCAGTGCTGACTGTGTATAAATCAAATCTAAATGAATGAAGCATTATATATGAGAGCTCTTAGTCAGTTTGAGTTCCGGTGGATCAGAGAAGATGAAGACTTTCAGGAGAACTATGAGGAGTATGTACAGGTAGAAGAGGAGTAGGAAATGAAACAATAACAGACAGCAGTGTGTGTGTGTGTGTGTGTGTGTGTGTGTGTGTGTGTGTGTATGTGTGTGTGTGTGAGGGAGAGATGCTACAGTGGTGTTAACACGTGGTTACTGTGGTACCATTTTGTGTTTTTTCAGCTGGATAGTACAATGTAAGGAACCACAGTACTGCAGTAGCATCAGAGCAGTGAGTATTATCATTTTTATAGTCTTTTTTCTCCACTGTGCTTATTTAACTGCAGTGGTTCCTTCACAGCTTCTGATTTCACTTTCTAGATGAGGAAAGTTTAAAAATTTAGACCAATATCATTTTGTCTCCCTTCTTTGCTGCCCTCTTCTTTTTTCTTTGCCTTTCTGCTTTCCTTTATTCTGTCTGTCTTTGTTTCTTGACATGTCTTGTTTTAGTTTTTCTTTTCAACCCTCTTCCTTTTATCCTTTATTCTTTCCTTTCTTTGTGCCTTTTCTTTTCTCTCTCTCTTTTTTTTTTTTTTAGTTTTTTTTCTTCTTTCTTTCCGTAAGTCACTTTTTTTTTTCTTTCCTTATTTTTTCTGTTGCTTAACATTTTTGGTTTTATACTTTTCTTTTGTTGTCTATTGTTACGCAGGTATGAACATAACAATGTTGATATTGACATACAAACACTGAAAATGTAATGACTTTGTTTCAATGTATTTTTGTACTTTTAGATACGTGTAAATGAAGGATTTGTTTTCTTCTCCCACTACAGACCATCGGTGTAAAGACAGGAGCACTTCGATTTGTTAGTACAGAAGCAGTGTAGAGTGTGGATGTAATGTGGATGTCACCTTATTTAGCGATGTCAGCTAAGCTAATCAGAGGTCACTCTACCTGTAGGGGGCAGCACTTCCCCAAGACAGGTAATCATTCGGGCGTGGTGCAGGCCGAGGGACAATAGGCTGCTCCACCGCTGTCACATCTCCTGAGTAAGATTTGAGGAGTGAGGCATTTTTGCTGGCCAGCATGGCTCTCTCATTCCTGCGGAACTTAGCTCTCCTGTTCTGAAACCAAACCTGGAATGACAAAGAACATAATGAGTAAATTGTTACCTTTTTTAGCTCATTTTCAACCTCTTCAGCACTGTGGAAGGCACCACCTTTACAGTCCCCATACTGTGTATTCAAACCTGGTTTAGAGTCATTACATTTGTCTGAAATAGTGCATAACACATATAGTTACATTTGTTGAAATGACACTGCCATAAACATAACAAACGTTTTTAAACTGTATAAGGAGTAAAAAAAACAAAAAAACAAAAAAACAAAAAACCTAGTACTAACAGGTGAAAGAAAAGCTATAAATGTTAGATGTGCTCCAACATTGTGACACAATTTGAAGTAAGTCCTCGATTTTGTTTTGTTATCATTTTTTTCTCCATCCATCCATTTTCTATATACAGTTTTATCCTCTGTAGGGTGGCGGAAGGCTGGAGTCTATCCCAGCTGACTCAGGGTGAAGGCAGGTTCACCTGGACAGGTCACCAGTCTATCACAGGGCCACACAGAGAGACAACCATCACACTCGCATTCACACCTACGGACAATTTACAATCACTAGTTAACCTCAGCATGTCTTTGGTGAGGACACTGGGATACTTTTTCTGTGTGGAGTTTGCATGTTCTCCCCGTGCAGCGTGGGTTCTCTCCGGGTTCTCCGGCTTCCTCCCACAGTCCAAAAACATGTTGAGGTTAATCGGTGATTCTAAATTGTCCGTAGGTGCGAATGTGAGTGTGCTTGGTTGTTTGTCTCTCTGTGTAGCCCTGTGATAGACTGGTGATCTGTCCAGGGTGTCCCCTGCCTTCGCCCTAAGTCAGCTGGGATAGACTCCAGCCCCCCGTAACCCTAATGAGGATTATGTGGTGTATAGATAATGGATGGATGGATGGATGGATGTCTTTGGACTGTAGGATAAAGTGGGGGCCCCCAGGCTTTAGTATTTGGAGGGTATATATTTCAATAACCTTCAAAGAAAAGTTTTATGTATAACAATAGGCATCACCTATTAAGTATTAATTACTGTTTTCATTTTTTGTGTTCTGGTCAGCTGGGGTCTTTCTGTGGGGAGTTTGCATGCTCGCCCTGTGCCTGTGTGGGTTTCCTCTATGTCCTCCAGCTTTCTCCCACAGTTCAGACATGTATGGAAGGTTAATTGCTCATTTTAAATTGTTCAGATGTGTGTGTGTGTGAGCATGCGTGGTTGTCTGTCTCTGTCACCATCTTCCAAAAAAAAAGTTTTTTTTCAGTAACAATATGCATAATTTATTTTTTTACAATTACTTAGCATTTTCAGTTTGGATGAAGTTCTCTGACAAATTGATTGAAAAATATCAAAATGATCAATAATCAAACCTGATCTAGCTTTCTTTGTAAGACATATGATTTACAGACCACAACTATAAATAGTAATTGTTTTGAGTATCAATTGGATAGCACTGTATAGCTTAAACAATACTTTTATTACAGTCTGTGGATTTAATTGTCACCAAAAAAAAACTTATCTTTCTCACTGAGAAACATGTTTTGGACACACAAACACTCTTTCTATATTCTTTGTGACTGCTGTGTATATGCATAGTAGTTACTGTCCCTTAAGTAATAGACTATATAAAAAAACGCTGCACCGGCAGAATGTAAATGATTCATTAATTTCTTAAAGCATAACACATGATGGAATGTATGATATTAATATCTGTATGAAAATTAGTAATGTGGCCTGGTTTTGTTGGCTGCGAATCCAAAAATCTGTGTGATTTGTCCATTCCTAAGATTTAACAGCTCTGTTTCGACTTGGTGTAAAGGCTCAAATAAAGCATACCTTGGCAGTCAAATGTTGTATGATGTGCCACAATTTCTGGTTTCATTTTGGTTTGGATCTGAGACTTTTGTCCTACGCTGTAACCAGGTTTCTTTATACAGTTAAATGTAAGAGTATGGTCTAAAGAAATCATACAAAAAGAGCTGTCTCAAAACTTGTGCCATAAAATCACCCTGCCTGCACCCCCACACAATTCCACACACCCGCATTCCCTTCATCTACAATTAACCTCATCCAGCACCAAGGACTCATCCCCCACCCACCTTCCTAAACAGATGATGATGACTTGAAGGGTGCTAATGTCGTTCCTTGCTGTGAAATTAAATCCATTATTAGAAGCTGTGTGCCTTCACAGGGGCTCGCTGTTCACTGACGCACGGCCTCAGGAATGAGCCCAAAGTCTCTTTTATCAAAGGATTTCTGCATCGCTCTTTGCTACACATTAATCACAGATGTGCCGCTTCTCTCGCTCCAACATCACTATTTCCTCTTTAACTCTCACTCTACCCACAGAACAAATACTTTCATTGTGTTGTTTAAAGAGAGTACATTTCAAACACATTATGTATACATTTACATCTTCAAGAAATACACTGGAGATGTTTAATTATTATTTCTATCATAAGTTAAATGATTACTGGGTGCAAGCCAGGGCTGTGCGCTTTTAAATTGTATGAACTTTTCTTGAGTTGTTTTTAAGGAGAGAGTTAAATTTATTCACTAAAGTCAATAGTATGTATTTCACTGAGGACAAAGGTACATATCTTCCACGCTTATCAAATGTAAGTTTCGCTCCACACAATTACAGCTTTGCAGTTGCAGTTTGAGTGCCTCGTAAAAGCACCTTAAATGGTCTCCTTTAAGACAAAGGAGGAAACACCCTGTTTAAAAAAATGTCCATTTGTGTGTGAACTACAGTGACAGAGAAGGATCACACTCACAAGAATTATCCTTCACCAAGTGCATTTCTAATTACCTAGACAAGTGTTTTGCAATTTAAAAGAGAATTAAAGTGAGCTGTTACCCACTTCACGTTTTCAAAAAATTGTATTTGCTATGTGCTATATATTAGGGAAGTTCTTTTTTTCTGTAGCCTTCATTTCTGCAAGTAACAGTGAAGACAGGGAATGTATGGAGGGATTAGAGAAATGGACTAAAAGGAATCAAACGAGGATATTTACATATATACATATAAACACACACACACACACACACACACAAATATATATATATAGATACGTGGCTGAACCTCTGGGATATTCTAACAATGAGGCATTTCAATATGTAAACTAAATATCAGTCAAGGCACTAAAGGACAGCGTTCATGATGGAAGAATTGATTTTTGATAACTAAAAATATATTTTTACTTTCGTCTTTGCATGCTGTATTTATTGGTGTAATTGCTGTAATTATTTATTCATTTTTAGTTTTTTATGTTGAAAGATATAAGTACGTTTTCACTCTATCCACTTGGTGGACAGTGAACTTGAACTTAAATTTCAGCTGAGTTAGTGCAGTAACAATATAGAATTTGACATCGCCAGGCGCCCAGGTAGCACAGCTGGATAAGACGGCGACCCACAAACAAGGGCTACAGGCCCCGACACAGTGGGATCGACTCCCGACCACGGCCGATTGCTGCAGGTCTCTCCCACTCTTCTCCCCCCTTTCCTGTCTCTCTCCACTGCTCTGATAAATAAAAGCAAAAATAGATATGTATATATTTAAAAGAAATGAACATAGCCTTTCTAATTCTTTTTCTTCTTTTCTCTTTAGACTTATTTGGACTTATTCGACTTCATATTTATCCTGTTTGGGGTACACTCTGTTAGGATATGTAATTTGCTAGGTAAACATAACCGTATGTATATACGTGTGTGTATGTGTGTGTGTGTGTGTGTGTGTGTGTGTGTGTGTGTGTGTGTGTGTGAATGAAGCCATGACTTCATTGTGTCCCATATCCCTCCCTTCTGAAACTCAACCTTCACCTGCAATTACAGCTGTCACTTTGACAAACATTCATTACAGAAAAATATTAATTGCTAGAAAAAAAAGAAATTTATATTGTGTGTTGATTGGCAGATTATGTCTTGGTGTGTGACATCATTCATTTACCAATTACAGACGCTCTGCTGCTGACCTCATGTGTTGCACACGCTTGTAGTTTATCACTTATCTGTAAACCTCTGAGGAAATTAGACGTCATTACATCCACTTTTCTCATCAAACCCAGTCCACTGGGGAGTTCTTGCAAACTGTTCACAGGCCCTAAAATATCAGTCACTATTTAAAAGATCGTGCAAGTATGATCGGAGATGTCTGTAAAGTGCTGAAAAGTTGTCATCAGTCTAAAGTGCTTATTATTAAATCTAAATATGTTAATGACTTTCAACCACTTATTAGGATTATGAATAAATCTAAAACCTTTCAGATGATTTGAAGCTGTAGGGAAACTGGGCACCCTGCTCTTTGCATGACCATGTCCTTCCGATTTTTTTAAAAAAAAGAACAAAAAAAAACTCTGCTCTCCTCCTCTCTGGTAATTATTAATTCAGTTCGGTTCAGTTCAATTTAATTTATATAGTCCAGTTCACAACGCATGTCATGTCACAGCACTTAACATAGTAAGGTGAAGACCTTATAAATTTATACTAAAGTAATCATTTCAATTTTAACATATGAGCGCTCTGTAAAGTGTACTACAGTGTTACCAAAACTTCCAGAATCACTTTTGATGCACTGTGTAATGCAACACAATTCTGTGTCTGTGCGTTTATAGCAATCTTTTTGTTTGTGTCTCCGTACAGTAAAAATGGTTCACTGTGTAACGCCCACAGGCCTGTCCGTGCGACATGGCTGTGCCAGCCTTGCGATCTAGTGAAATGTTTTGCTTATTCTCTGGTAATATAAGGGTCAATATGTCTGAAAAGTTACTGCTACTGATGAAAAACCATCACAGGTGAAGTAATCACAAAAAAGTGCTCTTTTTTAAGGGAGGAAGAAAATAAAAGTCTCTGAAAAAAAAGTGCTCTTTTTTAAGGGAGGAAGAAAATAAAAGTCTCTGAATGTGGCAAATAGAATGATTAGAAGGATTGTGCAGAGAGAACCTGAGGGGAACAAGGAAACATGCCATTGGAGGAAGAAGGGATTTCTTTTTCTGTCATGGAGTCCCTGTTCATACCTGGACTCTGGCTTCGGTGAGGTTGACCCGGCGAGCCAGGTCCTCTCTGACGAAGGCATCAGGGTAGTGTGTCCTCTCAAACACTCTCTCCAGAGCCTGAAGCTGGCTGCTGTTGAATGTGGTCCTGTTCCTGCGCTGCTTCCTCTTTTTCTTTTCCTCTGTGTTCATCTGCTCATCTGCCGGCAGAGGAAAGAGAAAGAACCCTTATCAGACAAAGCAGAGTGTATGTTTTCAGATACACTTTTTTCTTCGGAGGGGGACAAACAAAAGAAATAATGAGTTTAAAGCATGTGTCACAACACATCAGATCTTAATAATATAGATCTCTCTACATTTGAAAACAACTGCTGCTCCTACAGGCTATGAGAAGATACATAATCCAAGTAACATTTGTATGTCTAATGAAGTATATAAATGAGAATTGGTTCTCAATTGACCTACGTGGTTAAATAAAGGTAAATAAAAATGAATAAATATGGGTCAACTGAATCAACAGTTTACAAATCTGCAGACCTGACAAAGTGACAAATAACACTGTGGCACATTGATTACTTAGACTGCATTTGAAAAATGGTGATTCATTATTAGGGTTAAGTTTATATGCATCTGAATGGCGCAGTAAGACGATACATTCAGTCGGCAGATGCTTTCATCCAATGCAACAGCATTTTTTCACATGCATGCACACAGACAATGAGAAGTTTGATATTCTTACTCAACAACTTAACCTTTACAAACAATAGCTAACCTGCTCTCCCACTTGGGCTACAACTGCACCAAGTAAAATCTAGACTTGAATCTGTATTGAAATATACACAGTGACGGCTGTCCCATATAAACTACAGCATTACTGTTTCCAGTTTCATACACCAAATTCAAAGTGACACAACACATTTGTCAATCAAAGAATCCTTAATTTAAAAACCCAATCTATCCATTTTTACGGTTTGTGTCAGGCTAAAACGTAAAATAATGAACGCAATTTTGCAAGGTTTTCTCCTCTATGTCATGTATACACAAAGCAAAAATTTCAAGCTGAATTAATGCAGTGATCACCAGACACCTAAGGCCTGAATTATCACAAGTATTTAAATTATAGCAACACAGTTGCCAATTATTCTGCTTTTGTAACGCATCAATAAATAACATGAATGAAGTTCAGGCTGACCATGTGAATGATGTATTGTGCTCTAATTTACTTCACAGTCACAGTAACATTCAGTAGAGCAGCTCTAACTGGATCTGGTTCCTGGCCTTCCTCCTCCATCCTTTCCCTTTCTTCTTCAGGGCCATGTTCACCTGTTGGTTAGTTTTTTACAAGTCATTTTTATTACCTAGCTGACTAAGAAATATTATTTGTCTTGTAGGCTATAATGTCAAAGTGAATTGATGACTAGTTTATCAGAAAATAATTACATTTTCATGTTTTGTATTATCATCCATTTACGGTTAAAGTTTACAACCACTTTAAACACGAGACAACTTCTCTAAATGTTTGTGCTCTGAGTCTGACAGTTAAACCTTGGAAATGGTTAAAGCTGCAGCAGGACTCAGTGAAACACTGACTGGTTCCTCATCATCACTGCTTACATCCAGCAGCTAGAGCTCAGCACACTTGAAAAGCCTTTTTCTTTGTGCGGACCTTCTCCGGAACGCCGCCTGCAGCTTTTCTCTTTCGGTCCATGTTCCGGCAACAAGTGCCGGCATTTAAACAGTGCTGGCTGACTTCTGGCCCGATGGCAGCTACCTGCAGGTAGTGACTGCAGCAGATGGCAGAAATCAGAAAACAAACCAAACCCACAGAGTATGAGCAGGCTGTGGAGTTCACCCGAAACATCAGCTGCATGTTCGCCTCTTCATCCCTGCATGTCCTGTCTGCTGGCAACGACATGACACTGACTGAAGACTAGAAACACACACTGGCACTAGTCGAGCTGTAGGCTGCAGGGACAGACTCAGCTCACTTCACAGCACCAGTATAAGAGGAGCCATGTGCAGCCCTGTCCCAGAAACCATCCTCCTGTACCGCTACGCTGCATTCTTAGCTCCGTGTTTCTGATCATCCTCCGTCCTGCTCCGACCTTCCGATCGTCGCTCCCCTTCAGCTAACTAATCCTGGACTGGACCGGGCGGGACCCAGAATAAGGACAAACTGTGGACATGCTGTGAGTGTGACCCAGTCCAAGCTACTTTGCTCAACAGGACCAGACAGTTTTAGTGGCTGAACTTGACCAAGCTTCAGCTTATCGTTCTGAAAATGTTAACCAAAGCCGGATTCCTTCTAAACCGTACCAGGGGTTTTACTGTCTGTCATAATCCAGCAGTGGGTGAAAACCATGTAAAACCCGAATTTAAATCGAGAAGAACGGTTCCTAACGATTTCCTTGAAGCTGTGGCCTCCGTCCTCCCTCCGCCGTGAAGGCTGTCTCGGACGGGGAGTCTTCCTCCAGCCTCGTCAGTGACAGAACAGTTTATTGTAGTCTGTCCACATGTATTTTCTGGAGACAGAGTTTTCATGTTGAGTCCCTACCTGCTGACACTGCCTCCTGTGGATCATTGACTCTCCACTGCCTGCTTCTGCTCTTCATTTATTAAGTGCCACCAACAAAACAAACGACATTTACCCGACGAGAAAATATCTATATGTAGACATCTATAACTTCAGTGAACTGATCTCTGAAGATCCTTTAAAAACGCCTAAATGTAGCCAAAAATAATTACTTGGCCCTTTTCCTAATTAAATCCCAGCTAACAGACACACAAACAAACAAGAAAACAAACTCTGTTCTTTGGCAGAGTGTATATAAACCATTTTGAAACGAGCACCTTTCAGCTCTGTGTTCAGGCTGAATATTCCTGCAGGGTACAATTAGTGTAGCTGCCTTGTGGCTGTACAACAAGACCACAAAATAACACTTTCACACAGAATAAAGGTCCCCGCCTAATTCTATCCACACAACCTGCAGCTACACACACACACACACACACACACACACACACACACACACACACACACACATCTCTGTGTTCGACTTTTTACACTTTGGGAAACTTCACTCAGTTCACAACTAAATATTACACTTTGTTCCCAGCTACAGTTTCTCTGACTATCTTTGACTAAACGTGTCTTTTGTTGGGTATAAACCTTATGTCCTCTTATGTATTATTACTTTTTCAGAAACTGTTGTTGCAAGCTGATGACACAGTGACTTGTTGACATTTTCGACACACACAGAAGGATGTTAACACTGTTGCTCACTGACTACAGGACAATACTGACACCAGTGTAAACCGCCTAAAATTATGAATCTATGTATTCAAGTAGTATTTTTGTCTTTGTTTTCTCCATTTTGTGTTATTTATTTTGCATTTTATAATGCTGGCGATCAGGAACATTAAAAATACTTACTACAGGCCTAGTACAAGTATAACTGTGGGGTGCTGGAGATAATTAAATCAGTTTAATGTCAAAATGTTTTTACTGAAGTGATCGATTGGAAATAATTACTGATATGGCTGACTAAAATTACTGTGTGTGTTTGTGTGTGTGTGTGTGTGTGTGTGTGTAGGTGTCAATGAAATTGGCAAATAAAAAATGCTGGTAGTGAATGTTTTGCATATATGGCAAGTGTGAACATCTCAACATGAGGATAAAAATTAAGGAGAATCTGATTGAAAAGATGGAACATTAGCAGGTATAAGAAATTCACTAAATTCAGAGTTACGTAGTTATTTTCAGGTGAAAAACTATTTCAGTTTTTCTCTTTAATTTCCGCTTGAGTATAAATATTTTTTATTTAACTATCCAGTGATAACTTTTGTGTTTAATAGTCAATTAGGCTAAGCTGTGTGTGATTTTAAAATGTTTTTGGAGCAAGTTTCCCCTTTTTTAGAATTAGAAAATTGACATGAGACAAAGGGTGATGTGATAACTTTTATGGCATTACTCTTACTATAGATATAATTTCTCCACACACACAACACACACTTTGTCATTTAATAATCCGTTTGTTTGTTTTTTTGTTTGTTGCCATGTGTAAATCACATGTAACCGTGGTAGACCAGGAATACAAATAATGTTTATAACTTTAAACTGAGTATTTTTTTCATATTTTAACATAAGAAGGAAGAAGTCTTGCATTTGAAATGATACTTAAAGGTATCAACAGGCCAATGTACTTAGACACAGACGGATAGATTTTGGTTTCTTGCAGCCAATAATTTGTAGATCTGTTTGGACTCCAGCTTTTCTCAGGTGTACACCAATATACTGAGGAGGAGTTTATAAAAGCTGCCTCACAATCTCTTTGGCCTTAGACCCTTAATTACAATGAAACCACAAGCCACCATTTAAGCCGTGAGTTCAATTGGAAAGTGAGTATTTTGTCTCGTCTGAGTATTTTGTAGACCCCTAGAAAAGTATTTCACAAGTAAAACAAAGTATTTTTCCTTTCTTTTCTCTTTATATATATTTATATTTATTTGTTTTTTCCCCTCTTTGTTTTGTATATTACATCTTTTTGAAAATCAGAAAACTTCTTGTTTTTCTTCTTCATACTTGAGTTAATCATCATGTGACCGCTCAGATTTAGCTTCAAACCCATTTGTGGGGGCCTGGTCCCCTGGGTTTGAAAACCAGTAGATTAAACTCAAAAAATGCACAGTCGTTTCTATTTATTCAGAATATGTCTCGCAAGGACAATGTCAATCTGCAAAGCAAAGGACGGACTCAGCAGGCAGCGAACTTTACAAGTGGTTTAGGAAAGGCTCTGTGTAATTCAATGAGGTATGGTGACTTTGGTGACATGTGGCCTTTTGGCTGAAAATAAACTTGACATTTTACATTTAACCGTATTCATTTTTCTCTCCACTGTCTCTTATTTTCCGTCTTTAGTTTGTTGCGGATCAGAGCAGCAGCTCTGTAGCTTTGGGCTCCACACTTGGTAAATTGACAAGAAAAAAAACTTACCGAATTGCAGTAAACTGTGGCTATAAACGCAAACGGCAGCCGCAAATGGCTAAACAGCATCCGCGCACAGTCCCCCAAGTCAGCAGCCGAGTAGCGGGCTGCAGGTTCTTAAGGCCGGTGGACGGTGAGTGACGGCGGGCGGCCCGGAGCAGCGCCGCGGGACGCTCCGAGCAGCCCACCGCCAGCACAGGGTTCTCCTCACGCTGCTCAGCTGCACAGTTAGGCCGCTGAATGCCACTTTAAGAAGAAAGTCATCCCCCAAAAAGGCCAGTGTTTGATAGTTTGGTTGATTAGATATTACAAATAAATAAATAAATAAAATAAAAGTAGTCCACTGGATGAATTGTAGAGGCTGTTTTAAAATTGTTCCTTTTATTTTTTACTATTTAGCACGAAGCAGGTGACATGGTAGGTGTGACTGAAGGAAACTAGTGCATTAAACATCCTAATTTATTTTTTAGTAAAGCTACATTTAAAATAATTTAAAATAGCTTCTGCTGTAATAACACCAGACTGACTTTGAGTGAGCTTCATCTCTTTTCTGGATCATATTTTCATTCTGAGCTGTATTTAAAGCGAGCACAAACTTCTCAACACAATTCAAAGAGAACGATCGTTTTCCCCAAAACGCTGTTTTTGTCTTGGCTGTGTGCGGAGCTTTTGACCCGGAAGTCGCTGATGTTTAAAACAGCAAATCCAAGCTGTTCTCATCCCCATCATCATCATCGTCGTCATCATCATCATCAGCAGCAGCATCAGCATCACCATCCTGCTGTGTGATCAACGCCTGTGACTGATCTCATTAGCAGCTATCAGTGGACTCAATTACATGCCCTGCCAAAAGCAATTGGTTATAATAATAAAACAGGAAAACGTGTTCATTTTGCTGTTTTATAATGAAATGTTATTTTATGGACTCCGGAGCCAGTAGAAGATTTTTGTGTAACATGATGGAGATTTGTAAAATACTTTGAGCTGAAAATGACCCAAAATGTGTCGATGAACTGTTGCCTTCAAGTTTCTGTCACTAAATGGGGAAAAAATCGTATAATGACATCCAAAACATGGCATAATTCCTGTGGATCTTGTGTAAATCGGAGCCTGTAGAATAATGGCAGCTTCCCTCAACAACACGCAACCCCGAATAACAAGAAACACGTTTTCACTGATCAGACCAAAATGTGTTTTCTAAATGTGACCGATTCATTTTATCTGGCGTATGTAAAAGTCGTATTTCCACAAAATTAAATCCGATCAGATGTTGTTATTTGACTCCTTAATTATCGGAACGAGGACACGCGCGGTAATTATGACAAATGATTGGGCTCCGGTATTGTGAAAGGGCTTGACAGGCCGAAAATAAGCGTGAATTAACGGCGCGACCCGCCACTTCCTCCTGCATATTTCTCACAGTCGCCGCTTCGATTTTTAGCCTTAAAAATAACAATAACACTCATTAAAGACTATAAGCTTTCAGTTAACTTCAGCAAACGGTCCTCTGTGCAGAGCAGAAGGAAGGAGGGAGCGTTTATTTACTCTCTCAAGGGTGCGCCGGAGAGCAACCGCTCTCTGCGCTTTCACGGGGATTTATCCAACTTGTAGTCGATTCCATGCACGCAACGGCACAGAAAACTACACAAAAAGCTAAATAATAGAATCTCCCTGAATTTCAGATAGGATTTTCGGCCAGCGAGTAGCAGCCGCCTCTAAAGTCACCAAACGCGACAGACAGCTTCATGTCTGCGCACACAGGAAGTAAAGAGTAATAGTTCGAAAAGATTGTTTTTTAACCATCCGAAAAACATTCCCCAAACGATCACAGACTTGGCGCGTTTATCCTGACACTCACTCTAAGTATTTAAGAAAATAAGTTTTCCATTTTTAATCAATCGTTTTCTCTATAATAAAAAGATCAAAACCTGGACGATCAAAATAAAATAAAATAAAAAATAAAAAAATTAATAAAAATCTGACCTTATTTGGGTCAACAGTCATGAGAAAGAGATTTATGAGCCCTGAGTTAGAGTCATAAGGTTACTTCGCTGACCATGTCCACCAACATCACCATACCTCACCGACATCAAAGTGTTAATGGTAAATTAATGGCCGTTTTGAGCGGGAGGCCGTCAGGGATGATGCATTGCCAAAACTCACTAAAGGATTCGTTCCATGCGCGCTGCTCCATTCATGCGCGTTGCACCGTCACACGCCGGGACACAGTGAAAACAAACGAGTTTAGTTTTCAGCTTGTCATTAGAATTACATTTGTGTGGAATGTGATGTTCCCTACGCCTGGTAACGCGTGGCTCATCCACAGAGGTTCTACAAACACATGAGGGAGGAATTTTTATTTTTTATTTTTTATTTTTTTTAAATGAAAAAGATTTTAAAAGTTGTTTCTGATCTCTTTTGCTTCGTCCCATCCCGTGTTCAGCCTCTTTCCAATCTGCCTTTCACTTACTCTCCTGCTGGGTCGTGTCGCTCCCGCTGGTTAGCCCCGGAGACTCCAGCATATTCCTCCCCGCCTCCCCGACGCTCTCGTCTGCGTGGCTGCCAACCATTTCCCCTGCCTCTTCTAGATCCAACAGGTGGCTGACCGAGAAGTTTTTTTTGGCTTGCAGGTTGTCCAGGTTCGACGTGATCGGACTCTCCAGGCGGTTTGATATCGTAGCTTGCCTGTCCATTACATGTGCATAGCTAGAAGTCATGACGCAACTGGGGTACGGCGGAAAAAACGGAGTGGTAATAAAAAGAAAGGAAAGGATCACAAGCGAGCCAAGTAGATCCGTGCATGCAGAACGCACAAGCCGCGTCTCCAGAAAACCGCCAGATAGAACCTCGGGTTTTCCGAGCGAGAGGCAGATCTGTTCACATCCACATCAGCCGCAGACGGCTCAAACAAACTTAAAGTTTTCTGCTTTTCCCCAGTCGAGCCCGTTACAGCCAATCCATCCAGCGGTGCGCGTCAGACCAGAGAAACATTAGTCTGTGTTTGTCCTGCGGCCAAAGAGCGACTTTCAAATGAGTATTTCTAAGAAGGCATACAAGAAGAAGAAGCTCTGTTCTCACTCCGGTTGAGTCACATCTGAGCATGAAAAGCTGCTGCTGCTGCTTCTGCTGATGACGACCAGATGCGCAAATCTTCGAGTGTGCGCACAGCTTGCTGAGGCGCGGGGAGGCACAACGGTACCGCCGCGCCTCCAGGCTACAGACCCCATAGTCGCTCTCTCTCTCTCTCTCTCTCTCTCTCTCTCTCTCTCTCTCTCTCTCTCTCTCTCAAATGAAACTTTGCGGCCCCTGCGAGGGTAGACACACACTCTAACACACCCTTAATAAGAGCCCCGTAATTACGTGGCAATATGCCTTTATGCTGTGTCTGACGCTTCACAGGCCCCCACCACGAGCTGCCACCCCTCTAAACCCTCTCTCACCTCCTTCCTCTTCCTCTCCCTTCAGCAGAAACATCATCAGCGACCCCGGCTTGGTCCGCTGTTGTGCTCCTGGCTGGCAAACATCAGAAGGACTCACACGAGTGGGCGCAGCAGAGTTTGGAGGCAGACACACGGTTGTTATCACTGTTTGTGTGTTGATAAACCCACTCTAAATGTCTTGCGGTCTGCCACCAATTAAATCAACCATAACCAGTGCCAGTCTATCCACAGAGCTGTCTGCCTGAATGCAGGCTGAGTTGTCAGGGCAGCAGAGAGACGCTTCAACACCAAATTATAGAGAAAACGTGAGGCTGAATACATTCTTTTGAATGTAAATGTAAAATGTAGTTCAGGCGGTTTCTCACAATTCAAATTTTTCAGTATTATTCTTACAGAATTTTGCCTCCTGTTATGGACTAACTTGGATCAAGTGGTTCACTGCTGGTAAACCTGTGACTGAGTTTAGCAGGCTGCTGTTTGACACCATCTTCTGAGGGGCTTGGTAATCACACAATTAACTTGTTTTAAATGTAACTTACTACTAAAGGACACTTTAGGCATCAGACTTTCCACCTTCCATTTGTCAGCCGACCAACTTTCATCTGACCGTCATCCACTGATTTTACAGTCTTATAATGACGTGTCAGTAGTTTGTTAACAGACCCACACAGCTCATACTAGACATGTTTGTGATTCTCACGTACTTTACAGTGTCTTGGCCAATCAGATCTGGAGGAGCATCAGGCCTGTCAGCTCCATCAACTGAACTCTGAATTGATGGCCTAAAACAGCCCCAACTTTGTTGGCAGGTAATGGAAGGAAAACTGAGAGAGTATGAACATTATTCTTTTTCAGAGTGTTATGACACTGAAAATCCCTAATGTTGTATATATAACGGAAATACCATGAAGTCCACCAAACATTTGGGGAGATTTTTAATGTTCAAATCAGTTTAAGATGAGAAAAAAGGAGAAACACAAATACTGAAAGAGTAACTTTTCTGAGACAGTGGTCCTCCAGGAGTCCCAAGAAGAATCTAAGGGGTCACCATCACAGTAAAATATATTTGCCTGATTTTTTTTTTTAAATGAAGTTTTGGATACATGTACAACTATAGGCCCTTAAAATGATTCAGAATAGACACATTTGAAAAGAAAAATAGCTCTTTAGTTAAGTTGTTACAAACAAAAACAAGGCATAAGTTGTGTGGGATTTATTTAACACAAGCCTCTGGGACCCTCTTCTTTAGGTCGCTTTAAAATGCTTTGTGACATGTTTTAGGACCTTTTTCTGAATGTGTAAAATAATCAGCAACCCCAGCCGACAGAAAAATGAAGTGGAGTAAAAAGTCAAATATTTCCATCTGTAATGTAAGCAGGCTATCGCAAAACTGAAGTGAATGGACTCCTTCCTCAGAGTTGGTACTGAACTGTAGGTTATTTGGTTTAGAGATCTCCATGATGAAGGAATGAAAGAAGGCTGGAGCTGGATGTGGGTGGGTGGGTGGGGGGTAAGTTTTGGGAGGGTCATGTGTTCATATGGCAGGAGTCAACTCTCTGCTCCGAGCTGCCATAGACATCCCATAGCTTCCAGCCCCCTGATCTGGGAAAAGAACACTTGATGCCATCAAAGGGACGCGGATTGAATCCAGATGTGCCTCTCTCGTTCTTTCCATGTATTTAATGAAGACACAGGGATAGAGTAGACTTTTTCATCATTAGTTTTCCCCCCAGATTCTCTTTTCCTGCCTACAAGTCCATTCCAATGCCAGCTAGGGCCAAAAAAAGGGTTGGGGTGGGGGGCTCCCTATGTCTCAGACTCAGTCTTCTCCTACAGGGCCCCTATTCTTTGTTCAGAGCTCAATGTGAAAGTGGCCTGTTTGTTCCAGTCGCTACAGTCTGCAAATGGAAACATCCAAACATCTCTGAGAGGAAAATGTCATCCTGCAGAGCTGATGTTAGTAGGAACAGTCTGTGCAAAAGGCTGAAATGGACTTTGGCTCTATTTTGGATTTTTAAAACTTATTTATTTATTTATTTTATCAAGATGAACACATTTATGCTTGTGTTCATTTTTTTTTAAAAAAAAGAAAAAAAAAAGGATTTTTGTAAATTAAATAGAAATACTTTTGGACTGACCAGTTTTTTAAAATATATATATATCTACAAACATCTGGGCCTCATTTATCAATTAAACATTATCTAAGAATCTAAAGCCTCAGTATTGAAACTACTTTTAAGTCAAGCAAAGTCAAGTCATGATAGAGTACATTGAAGTGCTTGACAGAGATAAATTAATAACATAAAAATCTATTATGGCCTAATAATGACAGCAGAGCATATTAACCACAGTGTAGGTAATCACAGATCATTTTGGGGATAAGCATTTAAAGGTCATTAACAGAAGCGTCAAGTCACTCAGGATGAGTAAATTCAGTTTATGCATCCAATCACAGATTTGTCCTGAAAGAATCTGAATGTGGATAAACTGGAAAATCTTTGCAGGGATATTCCAGTTGTTTGACATGCAAACCACATAAACAAACATCCCTAGGTTGAATCTGTTGCCTTTACACTGTACACTACAAAATAAAATGCACAAAAGGAAATCTTTGTAACTATGTAATGGGAAACAAGCGAGAAAAGTATTAAGAAGAGCAACAGAGGAGGGATTTCTCTTTGAGAAGGAGCATTCCTAGCGTGTAATTATTTAAAATCACCTCCCACATTATCACTAAGTCCTGAGTGTCTATTTGGTCAACCCTAACCCTAATGAACTTAATATTCAAATTAATGTATCAGTTTCACTTACAAGCTCCTAAATGTTTACTGATTTGCAGAATATACCATCATTTTGGTCATTGTATTTCCAAAACTAAAGTTATTGACAGAAAAACAAGACACTTTGAAAACAAGAAAATATGCAGATATTTAGTCCCCATAATAGAACAGAAAAAATATCAATGCACGAAGGGGACTTGAGGTGCTGTGTTTACAACATAATTTAATAAACTAGTTAAGGTAAAGTTGGAGAATAAAATTTGTATATCAGTTCTCTTTTACTTGTGTTTACACGTAAAAAAAAAAAAAAACAACATCTAAGAAAGATAAACGTAACCACAATAATGTACAGTGCTCAGCAAATATATTAGACCACCTGTGTAATTTGTTGTTAAGCACTACGTATATATATATATATATACAGACATATGTATATACACACACATACACACAAACACACACACACACACACACATATATATATACCATCCAGCATGAAGTGCTTTAATGCCACTCAGCTCTCGGTGTTTCACCATTTTCAACAGGAATGAGGAATATCAAACTGAATTAATTCTCTTCCACATGGGTCTGAACCGGCTCACTGGACTTCTCTGAAAAGTCAGGAATTAATCAGCATAGCATTCAATTACTAAAACACATTTTTCTGTTTAATAATGCAAGTAAATAGCTATAATTTAACATCTTAATCAAGAAATAATAATGTGCTTTACTATTTTTTCATATTTTTTTGTAAAACAGTAAATCTTAAAATCCATAGAGAACAATAATAATTATATTTTAGCGTTAAAAATATCATTTTGGTTAAAGAGTTTCTACATACTTGTGTATTAACTATTACAGAAACATTAAAAAACAAACAAACAAAGATTTAGGTAATTACCAATGCTGTTAATTTAGATCAGTTGTGGCATAAACCTGACATTGGGTGGTGGTCTAATACATGTGTTAAGCCCTGTATGTATGATGTGTTTGTGGACATGATATATGCTAACCATTTGAGTGTTAATTTGTACAACATAATTTTTGAGAAACCGGAGTTCAGCTGTGAATTTGATAGTTTTAGTCTGATGAACAACTTCTGGGCTCAGATTTAACTTCAATAAAGTACATTACATAAATCTTAAAGCCTGATCTTTTTCTGTCTGATACAGTTTTAAACTGTGCAAGCTCCAAACACAAATGATCATAAATTAATACTGAGCTTCATAAAATTAGTTTTGTGAGTTTTAGGTGGAACCTGACCACAGACTTATGAAACTCCACACTTTACTTCACGTCAAGACCAAACGCCTTCACAGGGATAATTAGTCTGGACTGATTTGCAGTTGATCCAGCTTAAGGAGAGGTGGTGGTAGCTGAGGGGTAAAGGCAAAAAACCCTGCTGACCCTTCAAGGTGAATCTTAAATGTTAATGAGGAAAATTCAGTGGTCAGACAAAGTAAATATAATACATTGTCTTCATACAGCCACTTTAAATGTTTTTTCCCCTCATTAGTTGTTTAAACGCTCAGATAAACCTTTGTTTGACCTTCCAGTTTTAAATCAAAGAGTAAACTACAGAGGACACAGCCCATAAGGCCCCGCCATACTTGCCAGAAAATAACAAACTGATGATTTCTTTGATTGATTTGCATGCTAATAGATATAACATATAATGCCATAAAACAAGTCTGTAAATCAGAGCTATAAATTCAGGAATCAAATGCAAAAAGAAATGATAATTGAACTAATGTAGGCTGAAGCCATACCTTTGATTGAAGTCATTTCCATGTCAGGCTTCTCAGAGGTGTGTCTCAACATCACAAGGCAAACACACAAACATGCATGACATGGCTTCAATTATCACAACACATAAATGGCTGTAAACAATCCAGGCTCCTTGTAAACATTCGTTATGCATGTATGCAGTTATATCTGCTGTACATCCATGTGCATATTATATGAAGTATGAATATACATATAGGCATATATTCATACAGGAAAACATTAACAAGCACATCATGTACTTGTCTGACAGCTGGACTCTCTTTCCAGATTCAGACTTTATATATCTCCAAATACCTCTAGGCCACTAGTATTTATATCGTCCTGTTCGATGTCCTTATTAAACCAAAACTGTTGTCTTCCCTCCTGTTTGACCTGGCAGGTTCCCGCTGCAGGTAAAACCTGAAAGGTCATGAAATCTTCGAGAAACTAACGTCTTTGTACAGACAGAAGTTAAATGAGTTCCACATTACATATTACATGCTGCTTCACTGCGCTCATTGCTGACAGTCCAGTAGCATCTCGTGAAGAACATTTTAAATGCACTGCTTTAACTTATTTGACTACATATTTGAAATTGCGCTATTTTTATTTTATTTTTTGTTTTATATTTTTTAACTTCAAAGGCACACAAGCATTACCAAAACAGACGCTGTCACATAAAAGCTCTCTTGGTCTTAGTGTGATTTCTTTCTCTGTGCAGGCCGGGCCCCGGGCCGCCGGGAGGGGGGGCGGCGGGGAGCACCGATCGGGCGGCCGCCGCCGCCGCCGCCGCCGCTGTCCACTGACCCCTGGTGCTGATTGGAGCAGCGCCGCGGCCCGTGTCCTGTTTTATTTCCTTTACTGGGGGTAAATGGCCTCTTTGTTGACTCTTTGTGCAGGAAACCATATGCTGCAGACACGCTCCCCCTGCGCTGCGCCTGATTGCAGCGGTCGCACCGGGACGTCTCATCGCACCGGCCGCCGACCGGAGCCGAGCCTCGGCGCTGATTGGAGCCGTGAGAGGAGGCCGTGAGGACCCAGCAGCAGTGGAGCTGGAGGCATCATGTGGCCCGTCGCAGGCTCAGTCAGCTTCAACATGGAGACATGTGCTAGAAGGCTACTCACATCATTTATTTCTCACGTTTTATAATCTCACCATCTGGCATCCATATAAATAAATATAGAAGCACATCTACCGTGCACATTACGTAAGCAGCTTAAATGTACTCTGGTTTACCATTTAGAGGTATTTGTTCTTCACTTTAGTGGTGTTTTCTATTTTACTCTACTTTATACTTGTAGTTCTACATAATTCATATGAAAATAGTGTTAATGTACTATCCATATCAGCTAAGTATAACTGATAAGTCTGGCTGCTTTGCACATCAGTGTTTTACATACAGAACACGTGGTCAGCTGATATAGGGTAATGATGAATTGATAAAATACTTACTATCCTCCATAAATGTTACACAACTGTGATTACAGGTAATTCCATGAAGGCAACACTTCAACAATCAGTATTGTACCTGACACATAAAAACATAAAAGGAGTTTTACTTTGGAAAAGAGAGTCTTTCGTTGCCCACCGTTGATGTAGTGTGAGATGCATGCAGA